CCACCTCCAGAATGCTGGGATTCCATGTGTGTGTCACCTTGCTTATTAACTGAGGAGTTGGCATGGGGTATTAGTTGCTCTGGGTTGGCCTTGAATCAAGTGTAGATGAGGATGACCTTGACCTCCTGACTCTCTGCTTCCCAAGTGCAGGGATTTTGGGTACACTCCAGGACTTCAGAGTCAAACCAAGGTGTGTGAGGAGGCCTTGCTGTTATAATGGCTTAGATTCCTGGGCAAACACTGGAGTTCCTTTACTCACTGGGTGTCATTCCAGTGTCTGCCATCAGTAAGACTATTTCTCCAGGTAGCAAGCGTTTAAGGATACAAGGAATAAGCAAGCAAACAGACAAAAACAAAAAACAAAACAAACAAACAAACAAAACCAAAGATGAAATCAAGACTTTCAAAGTATTGCTTCAAACATCGGGGGAAAAAAAAAAAAAGTTTACATAACCTTGATCCCTTCCTATGCGCTTTCTAATCATGTCTCTTGTTTGGCTCCTTGCCCAAACCGAGACCACAGACTGCTTACCCCTTCCTTAGCTCTGTTTTGTTCTGTTCACGCAAGGCTTTCCTAGCTGGAAACCGCCAGCTGTCTGTGGAGGCGTTCAGGGGATTCTGCCTTCCGAGCTCGTTCAATAAGCCTGCTCTGCCGAGCTCGTTCAATAAGCCTGCTGTGCCCGGGTGCCAAGCCCTCCCCGACCAGATCTGTTTTGTCTCTTGCTAGGCTGAGTCACATAGAATAGATAGATAGTTTATCAGCACATGTCCTCCAGATCATATTATCCGCTTACAAATATAGCCTCTTAGCGCACAGGCACGGTAGTCCTTCCGCTGGGGGTGTTGCTCTGAGAGTGTAAACAGCGTTGAAAGCGGATCACAGGGTGGCAGCCGCGGCCGGGGACTCTCAGCACCCACCCGCACAGGGAAGGTGAGTGGCGGGTGGTCTCGGCCCCAGCTGCGGAGCGGTGTGAGCTAGCAGATGGGAGCGCCTGTCCTGCGACTGCGCAGAAGCTGAGTGGGGCGTCGCGGCTGCTTGGGGGGGATCCGCCACCGCGCCTGCGTTGTGGCTTTGGCTGTTTATGGCTTCACCTGGTGCTCGGTGAGCTCCAGCCAGCAACCATCCAAGCACACGGAGAGGACCAGGCTTTGATAGGTGCTTAGTTCAAGAACCACAATTGAGGGGGGCGACAGAAATCACGTCGGGGTGCATGGGTCCCCTCAGGTGGGCTGCAGTCGGGACAAGGTCCTCAGGAATCCTCCTGGTTCTTTCCGGAGGACCATCACGGTGCCCAAGACTGAGTTTCAAAGTGCTGTCCAGGGGGTGATAAATCATCTTTGTTTGTGCCCTCTTCTGGTCCTTGGAAAATATGCTTGACATCTAACTAGGTTGCGAGGAGTGGTCCTTCCTTTCACAAAGCTTGGTGCGCCCCCTGGCGTGGGTGGGGCAGGGGTTGAGGCGAGGGAGGCAAAGTGACTGGAGACTCACAAGAGAATTGTCCAGCTCTGTTAACAGCCCAGGTGCAGCGGCTTCTTGGCTGGACAGTCAGTCACCAGGGCCTGGGGCGTCCTCCAGTCACGGGTCCCGTAGAACCGCCTAACCGAGTCCAGTGGGGAAAAGTCCCTTAATGCCCAGGGACCTCTGGTGTGTCAGTTTGGTTTCTTGTTTTTAAACAGGGTCTCATGCAGCCCAGGGTGGGGAAGGAACCTAAGGATTTTCTGCATGCCAGGCAAAAATTCTACCGACTGAGCCATACCTCAGCCCTCACCTCTTGTTGACACCTTACACTTAATTGATGACCAATGGTCTGTCTTGGTTTCTCTTCTTTAGTTAATTGACACCCCCTCCCTATCCTTGCTGGGTGACAGGTTCCATCTTATGCCGCACTCGATCCAGTGATCACAGGGTGCTCTCTCACCAAGCCTGGGAGCTGGGCGCTGTGGCTGTATTTGGTCCACATGAAAATCCAGCAGCTCTGTCCCCAGGGATTTGTAGCCAGTCAGCCAGGAGGCAGGGTTCCAGCCTGGGCCATCTGACTCAGCCCCTGTTCTTCTCTTAATCCTTTCTGTACTCTGTCTCTCCTGACTTGAGCTCCTAGTTTAACAAATTACCCCAACAATAATCCAATGTCCCAAGGGAAACTCAGAGCAGGCAGCATAAAGTGAAATTCAGTTTAGAATTCAGCTGAAGTTCAGCGGTGGCTGACCTGACCTTGCTTTAAACTTTAGCCCCCGGCTACCCCACTGTTCTATCGGAAAACCCATTCTGCCTTCCAGCTGTGGAGTGTACAGCTGTGGAGTGTACAGCTGTGGAGTATACAGCTGTTGAGTATACAGCTGTGGAGTGTACCGCTGTGGAGTGTACCACTGTGGAGTGTATCACTGTGGAGTGTACCGCTGTGGAGTGTACAGCTGTGGAGTATACAGCTGTGGAGTATACAACTGTGGAGTGTACCGCTGTGGAGTGTACAGCTGTGGAGTGTAGGACACCCCCAACCCCCACCTCACCCCCACCCAGAACCCTGGTCCCCTGAGCAATTCCTATTGGCTGTAGGCATTCCCTTGGAGGGAGCTGGACTGATGACATCCTCCCTTACAGGATACACCTAGAAGGAGCCCTGGGGAAGGCTGGGAACTTGACTCCTCAGGTGTTAGGGCAGGAAGGGCAGGTGGGATGATGTTGTTAAGAATTGTTAGGGGCAGAACCTGGGCGCCAGCTGCGGAACAAGCTGGAACTCCCCTCCCTGGTCCACCTTCACAGTCCTGACATGGGGTTAGAGTTTAAACAGAAGGTAAGAGATACTGCACAGCTAAATTGTCCTGGTCATGTGACCCTGCCCATCACCTGGACTCCAATCTCTGCTGCAACATGATCTGACCAGTGGCCAGAACTGTGTGGAATCTTCTGAGATACAACTTTCTCCTTTTTGAAATACAAAGAAAGGCTGGGTGAGGTTTCAGCCTTTCCTCTCTCCCAGTGTGAGGTTATTGGGGGAAATTCCAATTTTAGGGAGAGGGTCAGCTGTCTCAATGGTATGATAGTCAAAGGTAAGAGGCAAAAGGATATCTTCATTGCAGTCAGGTCTGTCCCTCCGTAGCATCCAAGTGTTCCCTGGCACCTGCTTTCTCTCTCCTTCCTTTGTTCTTGCCTCTCTCTGTACCCACAACGGGAATATCAAAATGGCGTGGCATCAGTCTGGGAGACTTTGCTGGGTCTCTTCCAAGCTCCTCCAGATCTTTCCCATGATGCTCAGAGCTGTCAGCTTGGTACCCACTCCACACCTCCAGCCCCCTGAGCCCTTGACAGCCCAGTTTATCAGTTGACAAGGGAGAGGACTAGGTGACCTGAATGTTCCCCTCCAATCCCCTGGCATATGACTGAGTGGAGACCAGAGCTCTGGTGCCAGGGGACACATTTTTCCAGTCATGCCCTTGGCTCCAGGAAGCCAATGCCTTTGTAAAGTGGTTCTGCCATAACTGAGCTGAGGTAGGGGGCTGGGGGGAGGCATGGAAAGTTTGTCAACTAAACCTGCATTGATGGCTGTGCCCCCTGTCACTCCCAGCGCCGCTCCCAACCCAACTTGCCAGTTCTCCACACTCTCTGCAAGGCTTCCCTCCTTTTGTGGCTCCATGAGAGTTGGTTCAGCCTCAGATATCTGATTCCCTGATTCAAATGCTGAATCGAAATATGTCCCTGCATGCAGATGTTTGGTGTTCTCCCTGAGAGCCTGTGGACTGATGTGGGAGGTGTGGAAGGGACCTCAGTCTTCTTTCTGTTTTTCTGGCTTCCATGGGCACTACATGCACATGGTGCACAGATGTAGAGACAGGCAAAACACTCACACACAGAAAAACAGTTCATCCAGTTTAAAAGTCTGACCTGCTGCTCTAGCCCTGTGCCATTTCTCACCCACTCTGCTCCTCCACCCTAGTAAACCGCTCCTCAGTTTCCCACTCCGTAGATGCAGTCAGCTTTACTTGGCATGTTGGTTGATTTTTAAAAAACTTTATTTTAATTTAAGATGTTATTTGTTATTGTTTTTGTTGTTGTTGCAGTGTGTGTGTGTGTGTGTGTGTGTGTGTGTGTGTGTATGTGTGTGTGTGTGTGTACAAGTCACACATGTGCCATGCCATGAGTTTGAAGGTCAGAGGACAAGTTTTGGGGAGTTGGGGTTGAGCCATGGACCCTTTGGGGTGGAAGAATAGAATAAAGGTTTTACGTTGGTTTTGTTCTTAATGGCTTTCTGCCCCCAACAGTAACTTTCTATTTCTTGCAATGTAGATCATTCCTCCTTGTCTTTGTAGCATCTCCCTGTACCTGTCACATAAGAAATAGAGGTGATTGAGGTACTCACTCTTACCCCAGTCTATCAATAATTC